TGATTCATCACATAGAGACAAGTTTTATACAAAAATAAAATATGATGTATCATTCAATTAATAGATTGAATACTTACATCAAGGTTTGAGTAAACCTTAAATCTCTCATCTAAAGTGAATGTTCTCACTTATTGTAAATCCCTTTGCTAGATGCCTTCTCCTTAGATCTCCATCTTCTTGGTAATGGTCTTGCCTTTAGGAATCATGCATAAGCTTCCATGAATGACCTTGAAAAACTAGGTTTGTGGGAGCCTCCATTATATGAGAACAATAACCCTAAATTTTTAGAGAAAGAAAAATATATTCCTTCTTTTCATCCAAAAAATCTCACCTAAAATATATATGGAATATGTATATATAGGTAACATAAAGATAAGGAAAGGAAACAATAAATCCTTCTCAATCTCTGATACACATGTCTCAAATCTAATAGGATTCCAATATCAAGTTGGGCTATGAGTGAGAATCTTTTGAGCTTATTATTTTATTAGTTACAATGAATTAATAATTGGCCTGATCCATGGACCCAATTCAATTCATTCATAAATTAATTTCTACTTCACTAAAAGAAATTGATTGAACTCCAATTTAATAATAAATAACCTCTAAGTTAATGTTGCATTTTGACACTTCTATGCATAATTAGTTATCGGATAAATAAAACCATCAATCCGACTACTTAATTAATATAATTATTTTGGTACATTTGATTATATCCGGCTTGATCACAATAAAATATTTATTTGACAAAAATAATAATTTAAATAAATAAATATATAATAAATCATTTTGTTTAAAAACACATGACGGCCTTGGAATTTACTTTGTGATCAACTATAATCAATACAAAATAAATACAAGTAGCAATGATGCAAATATTGAAAATATAACCCTCTAGCTATTAATTACATAATTACCCAAAGTACCGGTCTATGGATTCCGAAGATTCCGCCGAACAAATCAAAATAATTACTAATTAATAAAAGAGTCTCTACTTTTCTCATACTTAAGAGTCAAATGCCATGACAATGATAGAGAGCAATTACATACGACGGCTTTCGCAATATATTTCAACCTAATGCGGATCCAGTTCAAGTCTTAATTAATAATGAATCCATCCGTAATTACCGACTATGAATAATTTATGATTATTATTTATATTCATGTATTGATCGCCATCACATACATATATAAATATCTCTTATAATCAAATGGACACTATCAATTCCATAATGAATCGAAACATAATACATTGAATTTACCAATTATATAAATCATAAATATCTCAGATATGTCAGAAACTTATGTCACTATAATCCAAATAGGAATTTGCTATACCAGGGCATATAAATCCCAACAGGATGGGCTTCTCCTCCTTCTCCTTTTCGAGGTTGCTTCCTGCAGACATAACCTCGGGCATTTCTTTCTCGAGCTTCCCCTTGAACTGTAGGGGCCTCGAGACGCAGAATTAGGGTAAGAGCTCCGCGAGGCCGAGAAGGCGGAACCTCGAGGAAGGCTCTTTCCCCATCTTCGGCTTTGGGAGTCTGAGGACATGTGGATAGGCGGCTGGGATCCATGGAATCGTCTCCACTTGAGGCCGGTACATGGGGGAAAGGACATTTGATACCCGAATTCGAGCTCCGAGTATGGCAAAAGAAGCATTAATTACGAAGGACATTTGATAAGACCCACATTAATTAAGGAGCGCTATTACTTCTTCGGGCCAGGGGGCAAAGCGCCGTGGTCCGCCTATCAATATCCCTTTTGTCAGAAGAGGAGATCCTTAAACCCGCGAGCAAGAAGGGGTTCGCCCCAGAAACCGACGGACATTGACCGAGGGGTGAGTATTAATCTGCCTTTAAGGTAACCAGAACAACTACTCTTAACTAACCTGTAGGATCGAGCTTAAGTAACCTGGGTATCGAGGTCAGCTTTCCCTTTTCTCAATCTCTGATTTCAGAGAATCCCTTGTATTGGTTGAATCCCCACTTAGATGCTAATCTCAGTTCTCTCGACCTACGTGGAATAATCTCCTTATCCTATTAAGAACTACTATAAACAGTCATTAGTGTAACATGTATAACCTCTATCCATGGTTCGCTGTCGCGGTGTTACAGGCTCAGACGAATATCGGTGTAAATCAACCGAACCGGCTAGTTCATGGAGGTATTTAACAGTATCGGTCCCTTGAAAAAAGGTTATGAACATGCATCAAGCGATACGTGGTATATCGAACGATATGGTGAGCTATCCCTCTATGTGGTGAAGGATTTGAGTCCCAATTAAGTGGCTTAAAAACTGTGTGGGTGTGTCAAACTTGGGTCAACAAAAAAAATCCAACTTAAAACGTGTGACCGACGAGATTACACAGAATTACTTAGGGTTAATTTCATTGACATCCCTTCAGATTTGGTCAAATATCACATTCAAACATTTTTCGAAAATTACTATCACTAACACCTAAAATCACTTTTCCGTTATTAACATCATCATAATAGATGTGAAATAACGGTGTTACCCTCATTTTTTAAATGTATTTTAATTTTAAATATCATTATTATAGAAGGACGAAATTACCTCTATTAATTATCCAACACCACCTAACACCCTCACCCTCACTCATACTTTCTCTCTCTATCTTCATACGCCGGCCATCTCCCACCACCTCACCACATTGTTGGTTGATATTTTGTTGTAGGTTTTGGAATTGGGGATTGTGGTTCACTCAGTTATCAGTGGAATTTCATTGGGTACTTCAAAAAGTCCCAAAACAATAAAGCCTCTTGTAGCTGCCCTCACATTCCATCAATTTTTTGATGCCATGGGATTTGGTGGATGTATCTCTCAGGTAGTACCCAATTTCATTACTATTTAAATAAAGATATTGTTGGTAGAGCTTTCAGAGAGATGGTGACCAATCACCAAATAAATAAGATATTTGTCGAGGACACTTTGCCCAAATTGATTGATTTTGAAGTGTAGTCAAATGGCTTGTGTAATACCCATAATTTTAAAAAGATAGTTCTGGTTGTTTTATCAAAGTCTACATTTCTAAGAAGTCAATTGGCCGGTAAAAAATTCACTTCTTTAGTAATTATGTACAAGACTTTTTTGAATTTCATCTTTTAAAATATCAAGCATAAATAAGTAAATAAATTTTAGGGTAAAGTACAGTCACACCCCCTGAGATTTGGCAAAAGGACACTCAGAGAAACTTACCTGTTTTTTGGACAAAGACACTCCCTGAAGGTTCGAAAATGGACAAAGACACCCCTTTACATGAAAAATTGACCAAATTACCCTTTGACCGTTTAGGAGACTTTTTTAACTTTACAATTTAATAAATTGGACCAATCTACCCTATGAATAATTTATGCATAAAAAAATAAAAATAAAAATAAAAATAAAAAACTTTGTATTGTTCACTTTTTCTTTTTTTTTTTAATTTATTTACTTTATAAATGTCCCAATTTCTTAAAAATGTAGACGTCTAAAATGATTTTTTGATTCAATAAATTATATTTCAAATAAATTATATTTTGTTATTACTTCTTTTCTTTTTCTTTTTTATTTTAAAATTAAGATGCTTAATTCTTTCATCTAAAAAAATTAAACCAATATCTTTTTGTTAAAAATAAAAAATATGGTACCAGTATAACTTTATGCATCTTAAATTATATATCAAATATTATGCATTTCCCAATATAAAAGAAAATAGATACCGGTATAACTTTCTGCATCTTAACTTTAAGCATGCCTTTGTTTTTTTTTCTCTCCCCCTTTGTTTTATTATTTTTTTCCCCTTTGTTTTATTATTATTTTTTTTCCCTTTTATGTTGGAAAATGCATAATATTTGATATATAATTTAAGATGCATAAAATTATATTAGTACCATATTTTTTATTTTTAAGGAAAAGAGATTGGTTTAATTTTTTTAGATGAAAGAATTAAGCATCTTAATTTAAAAAAAAGAAAAAAGAAAAAGAAAAGAAGTAATAACAAAATATAATTTATTTGAAATATATGTATTGGATCAAAAAATCATTTTAGACGTCTACATTTTTAAGAAGTTGGGACATTTACAAAGTAAATAAAAATATAAAAATATAAAAAGGTGAACAATATAAAGTTTTTTTTTTTTTTTGTTAATTTTTTTTATGCATAAATTGTTCATGAGGGTAGATTGGTCCAATTTATTAAATTGTAAAATTAACAAAGTCTCATAAACGGTCAAAGGGTAATTTGGTCAATTTCTCATGTAAAGGGGTATCTTTGTCCATTTTTGAACCTTCAGGGGGTGTCTTTGTCCAAAAAACATGTAAGTTTCATCCAAGTGTCCTTTTACGAAACCTCAGGGGGTGTGGTTGTACTTTACCCTAAATTTTAAATAAAATAGTGTTTCTATTGTTAAATCTGGATCATTGTCGCAATATTTTAGCCAAAGAATAGATTGGGAAAAACAATCTCAACACCATCGGGGGAAAGAAAAAAAATTGACGCTACATTAGGAAAGTGATCGAGGATGGAAAAGTATCTAACGGGTGGTGATTGGTGAAGGTGTTGGGCTTGTGTGATCTGGATATGTGGATTATGAAGCTTTAAGATGGTCTGATATTTGGAAATGGCAAAGCTTATATGGGTATTTTGGTCTTTCAAATTTTTTAAGGATAAAAAATGATTTTTGACAAAGTCAAATGAGTAACAATGTCATTTTACATTCAAAAGTTACTTTGATAATATTAAAAAGTAACTTTTGGAGTTTGAATGAAAAATTGATTAAACATTTATAATATGAGTGATAATAATTTTCGAAAGGTATTTCAATATGTATTTAACAAAATCTAAAAGAGTGTGAGTGAAATTAATTTAATTACTTAAAACGGGTGGAGGGTGGTGGAGGGTGGAGACGTGTCCTGTTAACCACCATAGGAAAAAAGGATAGACGATGATCCAATAATATGCTCAATTCTCAGACGCGTCCTATAAATACCATTTCATTTTTCGCATAAAAAACACACACCATAGAGTCTAAGATTGACTAAATCTCCTTTCTTTTACTTTCTTCATAACGTTTCCTTCCTTAGAAATGGCAAATCCATCCACTATTGTACCCTTGACAGTGGTAAGGCATGAGGCTGAACTTGTAGTGCCTGCAAAGTCCACACCCAATGAAATAAAGCAGCTCTCAGACATAGATGACCAGGAAGGTCTTCGCTTTCAAGTCCCTGTCATAATGTTCTACCAAAAAAGTCCTTCCATGGAAGGAAAGGACCCAGTGAGGGTGATCAGAGAAGCACTGGCTAAGACACTTGTTTTTTACTACCCATTTGCTGGTAGGCTTTTTGAAGCCTCCAACCGAAAACTTATGGTGGATTGCAGTGGGCAAGGGGTCCTCTTCATAGAGGCTGATGCAATTGTTGGTCTCCACCACGACATGCTTCAGCCACCCTCTCCTTACTTGGACCAGCTTTTGTACAATGTCCCTGGCTCTGATGGAATCATTGGTTGCCCTTTGTTGTTGATTCAGGTGTGTTCAACCTACCTTGCATCATAACTTCTGTTATTATTGTTATTATTATATATATTTATATATATGGACGAATTGCAAAAAAAAAAAGACCCCTTGACTTTTACCGGTTTGAAAAAAAATTCTCCTTATCAATATCTTTAGTAATTAATCATCTCAACTATAACATATGTTAGAGTGATTGTGTGATAAAATTTTTGGATAAAATTACCTTTAAAATAAAAATAATACATTAGTATTACGAAAGTACCCATCATTCACTTTATTTTTATTTTTTTAACTACATAAAACACTAAAACGAGGTCTCTTAATATGAAACGAGGCCTTTGATTTTTTCTTTGGAAATATTCTTGCATTTGGAATTTATATAGTGGTAGTTATTTATCAAATGTCAACTTAAATTGATTTTAGTGAAAAAAAAAAAAAAAAAAAAATTGTACCATGATTTTTTATAAAATAAGATAAAGAAATATATATATATATATATATATATATATATATATATATATACACACACGAGAGATCCAAAAATATCAGTACCATGATTTTTTATTAAAATTTAAAAATAGAAATTTATAAGAATCTAAAAAATTATGGATATAGCATATCAAAACAAAAAAAATCCAGTAACTTCCACCATAATATCAAAACAAAACCCCCCATCCCCACCCCCCAAAACATATTTCACTATTGTTTTTTTATTTTTTATTTTTTTTATAGTCAAATGATATTTCACTTAAATAACAAATATTTGTTTGGACTATCTTTAATTATTTATTTATTACGTAGAAAAAGTGTTTATTATGACATAAAATTTGATTTATTTCAACATCATAAATCTTAATGCCAATAATTTTCTATTAAATTGTGATATGCTACACACACACACACACACACACACACATAAATGAAAAAAGCCACTTCTTCCTAATTATGAGATGATTTTGCCACATATTTTGATAAATTTCTACTTTTGGTACTGATATTTTTGGATCTCTAGTATATACCTTTTTCTTTATCTTATTTTATAAAAAATCATGGTACAAGGTTTTTTTTTTTTTTTTCGCCAAAATCAATTTAAGTTGACATTTGATAAACAACTACCATATTACTACTATATATATTCCAAATGCAAGAACATTTCAAAAGAAAAAATCGAAGGCCTCGTTTTAGTGTTTTATGCAATTAAAATAAAAATAAAAATAAAGTAAGTGGTGGGTACTTTAGTAATACCAATGTATTGTTTTGATTTTAAGGGTAATTTCGTTTGAAAATTTTATCACACAATTACTCAAACAAATGTTTCATGTTAAGGGTAATTTTGTCCAAAATTTTTTCTCACACAATCACTCTAACAGAGGTTAGTTAAAATGATCCCCGCATGATATTTGAAGGGGCTTAATTGTTAAAGATATTCATAAGGAGTTTTTTGACAAACGGGTGAAAGTCAGGAATTTTTTTTTTACAATTCACCCTATATATATATATATATATATATATATATATATATATATATATCATATTGGACTTGTCTTGGTTCATTTGTAAACTAATACTAGTAATTAATACACAGGAGCATTAAATTAAATTAATCTCTCTCAAATAATTAATGGGTGCATGCGCAGGTGACTCGTTTTGTTTGTGGTGGATTTGTGTTGGCACTGCGCCTAAACCACACAATGTGTGATGCAGCTGGTTTGTTCCAATTCCTCAGCACAATGGGTGAGTTTGCACGAGGTGAAGCAAATGCACCTTCTGTGACTCCTGTGTGGGAAAGGGAAGTGTTCAACGCAAGAAACCCTCCGCGCATAACATGCCCACATCACGAATTCGAAGAGGTAAGAGACACATCAATGGCCATGGACAACAACAACTTGATCCAAAGGTCTTTCTTTTTCGGACATGAAGAATTAATAGCCCTCCGGAAACAACTACCTCCAATCCTTGGTAGTTGCTCAAAATTTGAGGTAATAACGGCATGCTTATGGAGATGTCGCACAATTGCACTTCAAGTAGATCCTGATGAGATTGTTCGCGTTTCTTTCACTGTCACTGCGCGTGTTGTTAATAGGGGTATTTGTGTACCTCCCGGTTTCTATGGCAATGCATTTGTGTACCCAGCAGCACTTTCAACCTCGGAAATGCTATGCAGAAAGCCATTACGGTATGCTGTGGAGTTGGTAAAGAGTGCAAAGGGTCAGATGAGTGAAGAGTACATAAAGTCAGTGGCAGACCTTATGGTGATCAAGGGAAGACCCTTGTATACGGTGGCTGGGAACTATATCGTTTCGGATACAACTCGAGCTGGGTTTGATAAACTCGATTTTGGATGGGGAAACCCGGTATATGGTGGCATTGCCACAGCCATTTCTTTGATTAGCTTTTACGTTCCATTCAAAAACTCTAAAGGAGAGGATGGGATTGTGGTACCAATATGCTTGCCACCACCAGTCATGGAGAGGTTCAAGCATGAGCTTCACAAAATGACTCAGCTGGGAGGTGTGGAAGATTCGTCATATGAATGATAATTACCATATATGGTCTCAAATGGTTGCTAGCTAGAAAATCAGCAACAATGAATGATAATTATAATATAATGCTTTGTGTATGTGTACCGTCTGATGTAGGGATTTAAATTTCAGATTGTCCTTATTTTATGAAGGAAGAAAATATAAATAAATTTCCTTTAATTTCCAGAAGAAAAAAAATAGAAATCAATGACGTATGATTTTTGTAAATTATCAATATTGTATCAAAAACCTAGTTGTACTCATTGATGGTGTCCCAGTTCTTGGTCAGGCTTAAAGAATATTATAGACTGATTATAGATAACGAAATTAATACTAGTATCTTGTTTATTAATATGAATTTACTTAGTAAGTTTTGGTAGCAACTCTTTATGAATTAGGTGGCATATAAAGTATTGATATTTTATATATGGGATTGATCTCTACTAACAGAATATATATATATATATATATATATATATATATATACATACATACATACATTCTCAGACACCACCTTATAAATGACTTTTCATGTTCACATAAAAAAATAAAAATAAATAACCATTAGGGTCAAGAGTGAATCTCCTTTCTTAAATTTTCCTTTCTACAAACACAAATCCTTTACACATGATCATTGATGTTGTATTTGGGAGTATAGTGCTTTGAATTTAAGATTAGAGGAAATTTATTTCAAAGTTTTAATTAATTTTTTTGGAATTTTAATTCCGGCCAAACTGTCTATTCAATACTCCCAAACATAACACGAATGTAATATATGAAAGAATAAAATGTTTATAATGGATTTGGCTTTGGTCTGATTCTTCTATTTATAAATCTCAAACATAACAGAGTGTAATATGTGAATGAATGAAATGCTTGTAATAGATTTGACTCTCATCGGATTCTTTTATTTATAAATCCACGAAGCTTTCACTTTGTACGAGTCAAATATGGTGAGAGACATGGAGAGTGTCATGATATTTATTTTGGCTTAACAACATTACATAGTAGGGATGTTACAATACCGGGAATGGAAGCTAACAGAGAAGGCATTTATAATGTAAGTTTTTAAGAGTGCTTATTGCAGTTGCGCAAGTGACGGTTCTTTTACAATCGCTATTAGGATTGGTTATTTTTAAATACATTAATTACTTAAGTTTCTATTTTTATGGGACTCTACAAACATAAATTTTTTAGACAAAAATACCCTTTTAAATTATCTAACTTTTATTTTTCTCTCCTCTTTTAATCAATTCATACGGGGATGTGTGTGTTTATATATATATATATATATATACTAAAATAACTAGTGTTATATGAATGGATTCTAGAAAAAGAAAAAAATATATATATATGTATTATGAAAAAATTAAAAGGAAAAATTCCGAAAAGAATAAAAAGAAATGTTAAAAAAAGAGCGAGAAAATAATCGTACAAGATGAATTCTAATATCAATTATATATTTCTTCTTACAACTATCCTTGAGTGAATTCTTTCCTCTTTTTTTTCCTTTCCTTTTTTGTTTTTTTTCCTATATATGTATGTTTTTTTTTGCTTTTTCTTTTTCTTTTTTATTTTTACAACTATTCTTGTATAAATGGATTTTTTTTTTATTTTAAAAAAAGGAAATAATCCATTCACCAAGGATAGTTGTGAAAAGAAATATATTTGTGTGTGTGTGTGTATATATATATATATATATAACTAATTTTTTATTTTTTTAAAAATCTCAGAATCTATGTTCTATATATGGATTATTTTCTTGCTCTTTTTTTTTGGTCTCCTTAGAATCCATCTCTTGTGAATGGATTATCCTATCTAACTTTTTTTTTTTCATTCAGAATCCATTCACATAACATTAGTTATTATACACACACACGCACACACATATACACACATGCGCACACATCCCCATATGGATCGATTAAAAGAAGAGAAAAGAAGAAAGGCTACATAATTTAAAAGGGTATTTTTGTCTAAAAAAATAATATTTGTAGAACCCCATGAAAATAGAAATTAAGTAATTAATGCATTTAAAAAAAAAAAAAACTATTCTTCTCTTAAAGTTTTTAAAAAAATTGAGGAGTGCTAATTACAGTCGCGCAAGGGAAAATAGTCTTAGAAGGGTAAGTTGAAAAAGTTATATAGAATTGGGGCAATTTTTTTTTTTTTTTTTTTTTTTTGTAACTAACCCTATTGTATATAGAATTGGGGCTATTTTTTGTAACTAATCCTATTGTATATAGAATTTGGGCTATTTTCTGTGCTCTTTGTAGTTTTTTTTTTTTTTTTCAAAATTTATTAATCAAAATGTTGATACTGTATTATCATTTAATATGAGACCCTTTAGTGAGAACAGTGCGTTGTTTTGAAAAAGTTAATTATCAAAGATATATAGTTTGGTAATTTCCAATGAAATTATAAAAAAAATTCAGTTCAAACTTTAAGCACATAGTTTTAGAAGTACTCCAAGTATTTAAGGAAGCCTTCACATGATTATAATAACTTTAAGATAAGGGTTCGTATGGGGGCGGAGCCAGAATCTTGAGGTTGGGGGGGCCAAAATTATAAGCAATATTAGAACTTTTGAGGAAAAAAAAAAAATTATGTAGGTAAAAATATTTTACTATTTATTATATTTATACAAAATTATATCTATCTAAACTTTTGCTAATTTATTTAAATTTATCAAACTCTCTGAACAAACATAAATAAGATTTATGCCAAAATTAAAAAAAATAATAATAATTAAACAATTAGATTTTAATTTATAAAAAAAATTAAGAAATTCATGTAATACTTGCACAAATGAATAATCATTAGACAATATATCAATAAAAATTATAACTATGATAAAAAATAATAATAGTAAAATAAAATAAAATATGAATTTTTGTTGATATTCAAAACTTGAAATGAAATTTTTGTTCTAGATTTTGTGAAAATTAATTTCTTATAGAATTCTTATAAAAGCATTCCAATAAAAAAAATATAAATAAATAAAAAGTGATCGAAAAAAATCATGTATGAGTTGAAATTTTAGAATAATAAAGTTATGAAAGTAATAGTTGCAAAGATTTTAAGATAGTCAGTCACATTATGAAAAGAATTGTGTTTGAATTGAAATTTTAACATAATCACATTAAATTTTTATACAAGTCAGTTTTTATTGAGATCCTATAGTATTCAATTAAATCACTTTCCTTTAGATTATATATAAATTATCTTTTGTTAAATGCTAATTAAAGAAATAATTTTTTTTTCTTAGGGGGCCATGTATAGATTTTATACCATACCTACTCTATTATTTTTATTTTTACCTATATTAAAAAAAAAATTCCAAAAAATTAGGGGGGGCCATGGCCACCCCTAGCCCCCCTTGGCTTCGCCCCTGCGTATGGCAATCGCTTTTACTTTGTGATTTTGTTTTGACCCGAGTTTTAGAGTATTTTTAACATTATTTTGAAATTTATTTGGCAACATAAATTTTTCATAAAATTTTTGAAAACGAAAATATGAAAACTTATTTGGTAAAAAGTATTGCAAGTTTGAAAATTTTGAATGACTAGATAAAAATGTCTTTTTAGATAGAAAAAAATTTCTTCTATTGTGGCTACACTGCACTAACAAAAAAAAAAAAAAAAAAAACATGAACCATTAGCCGAATAAGCCATAAGTCTTATATTATGTCATTAATAGTACATTATTATGATAGTGACATGTTGAGTTAATCATTGAACCACGTTTAAAATGAGGTAGGTGTTTGCATCCTAAAAATAAATATTTATTCGGGCACATGGCACAAGTCCAATAATTTGACAAAAGTTCTTAATCCAATTAATTAAAGTTAATTAATTGATAGATGATTTCTTATAATGGGCTGCAATAATAAAGGATTACTTCAAGTTGATACAAACACTTGGCCTATTAATGGAAGATATATAGCGTGTTACTAAAAGGACTCTTATTCAAAATTGGAGTCTAAAGTCAATAATTCCTTGATTTAAAGCCACATCATTAAGGAGATTTATTCCAAAAACACGTTCATTTAGATAATGCTTAAGACAAAAGGAGTGCATTCTGATAAGCTTAAGACAAAAGGAGTTTTTAATTCAAATATAATATTTGAATTTGAAAAGGAAACTGCTGAAAGTAAAACAAGTTTCATACTTCTTAATTTCTATTCTACTACAATTTCATACTTCTTAATTTCTATTCTTCTACAATTTCATACTTAGTCTTTTACTTGTATTTTACTTCGGTTCATAGGAGTAACCTAGTGTTAGATTTATAATAAATCACTTATTGTACTCTGTATGAGAATTTTACTTATGAAATAAAAGTCAGACGCTTGGCTTCAGTCCCCTTTACTTTTATTTTCTTAAGTCTCTTGGAATAGATGAATGCTCGTGTAGTTTATTTTACTCCCTTCATCCATTCCACTTATAGTGTTAAAAGTCCTCTTTATTGAGGCGTTGAAGAACCTAAAGAAAGAGGTCATCCTTATTTTTCAGCAGTCGCCTGATTGATTTACAAGAAGGTTGATTGTGAATTCGGTCAGCACCAATGATAGTTTGGCTATCTAACCCCTTGGGTCGAAAGACTTTGGCACGCCCCTAAAAAAAGAAGAACCAAACAATTTGGCATGCCCCGTGGGACACCAAAAATGTCTAAATTTAACCTATATTTATTGTATTTATTCGATCTCAGTCACAAAATTTGCCTGAGAAACAGCCTCAACATCAGGAACAAGAGGCTGAAATGGAAGTGAATCAATAGTTAAGTAATCAAAATGTTGGATGAGAATGTTAACAACTTAGTGCAACGAATGGAAATTACTAGCCATACCTTTCATAGAGCACTAGAGCCAATCCGTAACACATTGGATAATTTGAATAACTCTTTGACCGTCATATCAATAAAGTTTGATCAACACCTTATAGCACGGTCGAATACTACAGATACTTTGTTGCATGTACAGCAACAAGTTCTAGCACCTGTTGGGGTTCAACAGAATTACTACTAACAACAACAGCAAGGGTTTCAACTCCTTCTGGAGCCATTGCATGGACAATATCAACCCTAGGCTAATTAACCACAACATCAGATACCAGCGGAGTACCAACCAATCGAAGGGGCAAATCAGAATGTGAATTGGCAACTACTTAATCCAATTTATCAACACCAACCGTAAGTATGTCAGCCCCGAAGGGTCAAGATAATTTCAATACTGGTTTTAATTTTCCAGTGCCTCAGCCTCAAGTGCCGTATGTGCTTTAGCCTCAGGCACCTTATATACATCAACCTTAGGCACTAAAACCAAATCATCAACCTCTAATGGTTTATAAAAAT